GATTAAGAAACATTTCCAAGGGGCAGAATTATATCCTAATTAAGACAGAAGCTGTCTTCTAAATATAATAATAAAACTATAAAATGAACTGAACAATTAAAGCATGTGAATCAGAAAGTGCTTTTAGGGACTATTTCTTTCCAAATAAATCTGATAAATTCCTGAGAAATGATACAGATCCTAATGTTGACAGATCCACGTTATCAGAGGAAGAAAGGTAACAGCATAGTCACTATATTCAACTAGATTGCTAAATAAGCACATTCAAATATTTTCATATGTCACAAAACGTAACATTTTCAGAAACCTGCTTCTGGATTATACTCTGAAAGTTTGCCTAAGAATTCCTTCCTAGAACCTGGTTGTTAATTTGTCTCTGAACAATCTGTGACACTACTCTGCCCCTTACTTTTCGACAGCTTTGGATTTGTCTTTGGTAACATATAAAAGAAATCTATATATAATTATAACTTATTATACCAAATCAATAAATTAACAAATACATAAAAGACCTCAACTGCTTTTCTGAATCCAAACAATCTTTCAGTTTTAAAAGTTTCTGAAAAGAACAAAAATTAAAACTTTGGAAAGAAATAAAAGTATGTATCACTAATGCTGACAGCCTATGAAGATTTAAAATCTTATTTGGCAAAGGTACATTTGGTGAGTTTTTGGAACTCACCATTCATTTATTTCCCTGTTCTCCATACCCCAACTGAATATCTTTTACTCATTTGATTCTTTAAAGGTCTAAGTACAGAAAACACTGTAATAAAATTATTTTCTTTCAACAGTGGCAATAGTTTCTTCTAAGTTTTTAATCTGATTTTTTTTTTGGTGGTGGTGGTATCCAATCCAGAAGCACTCTACCACTGAGCTACATCCCGAGCTCTTTTTATTTTTTATTTCGAGACTGAATTGTTCAGGCTGGCCTTAAACTTGTGATCCTCTTACCACAGCCTCCCAAGAAGCTGAGAATATTGACATGAGCTGCTACACTCAATTTATCTACTTTTCTTAAACTAACAAAAGCCAAAAAGATAATATCTTCCTGAGTTCAGCACTTTGTAACAAGTTTAAAATATCCTGAAGTAACAAATTTATAATGAATGAGATTCTACTGTCATATACTATATTATAATTTTCATATTTTAGCATTTCTGAAAATTATATACATGTTTTCATGTATATATTTAATGTAGTATCTTTCTTCCTCACAAGAAGCTATTTTTAATTCAAAAGTGTTTGAGCAGGGCAGGTTATATATAGTATACTAGATGTTCTTAAAATATTTTAGATCTGCAAAAGATTATAGAAAACACAATTATTTTGGCTGTCAAAAAATCAATTTTAGAAGGAGGGAAAGAAGGAAAAAGTAAAACTCTCCATCTTAGGTTCAAATATCCAGAAACTTTAGTTGCTACACTGTATTGTTAATTACTTAATGTGTATTTCCCCTATCCATTTGATCAGTAAGGGTTAGAAAGCAATGGCAATGCACAAAGAGTGGAGGTGGGGTGTCTAGGAAGCTGCAAAAATGTACAATCCCTTTTATATACTGTACTATTAATACTGTATAATGTTTTGAAGGCTATGACTCCTCAAAAAGTTAAAACTGCAGTGATAATTCCAACAAAAAAGAATTAACAATTCAGTTTAGTATTATAATAAAAGTAAATACAAGCCAGGCGTGGTGGTGTATGCCATCCCAGCACTCAGGAGGCTGAGGCAGGAGGATCACTGTGAGTTCAAGGCCAGCCTGGGCTACACAGTGAGACCTTGTTTAAAAAACAAACAAACAAACAAATAAAAAAGTAAATAGAGAGCTACAGTTGGAGCTCAATGGTAGGACTCTTGCCTAGCATATATGAGGCCATATGTTTGATCTTCAGCACTGCCAGAAAAAAAAAGGCGCATAGGAAAGGCACCTAACCCTTCTTTGTACAAATGTTCTATGGATGCTCCCAGAAAGGCCTCTGGGAAGAAATAACAGTATGTACTGATGAGGGGTACTGACGGCACAAATAACAAATTATATGCGGTAAAGTGCTTAGTAATACAAGATATAAGGCAGGAACACCTCTTACTATCCTTTTTTTTGATGAAGTGTAGGGGAGACAGGAGGAGAGCAAAGGCCAAGAATGAGTGTAAGAATGTGTAACCGAAAAGATCAAAAGCAGGATAAATTAATGAATTTTATAAACTCTGGTTTTGACATACTTTGATACCCAACCTCAGCGTTGGCTCTAACCTACAACCAACAACAACCAACTCAAAAGAGATACTGTATGATTGAAATGGGATAATACATATTTCTATGTCTAGCTGTCTAGTTTCTCCACTAGACTATAAGCTACAAAGGACAGAGACCATGAATGTTTTATCTACCACTATCTAATAAGTCCTTGGCAAAATGCTTGGCACAGTAGGTGTTCAGTAAATGTTGACTATCACTAAATGTTTTATTATGAAAATTCCAATTACAACAATACCTTGACCTCAGCACAACATTACAAGTTTGACAGTATTATAAAGAGACCAAAGATTACTATGAAGGGTGGGAATTTAGCTCAGTGTTGGGTACTTGACTAGCATGTACAAGATCCTAGATTCAAGGGGAAGAAAAAGATTACTGCTTATTTCATTATAAAACATTTGCAAAATTAATGCTTCTCCTCCATTAAAAACTTTAATTATAGGGCCGGGGATTTAGCTCAGTGGTTTCACTACCTGCTGCGCAAGCGGCAAGGATCTGAGTTCGATCCCCAGTACCAAAAAAACAAAAACAAAAACAAAACAAAACAAAACTTTAATTATAACAATCATACAGCCTTCCAATTTGACCAAAAACAATCATTCAGAAAAACGTGCCCTTGGAAATAGTACACAGTTAAATCTACACTGCAAGTAAGGAGTACATATACTTGTCCTCTCTCCAAAGAAGTGTTTTTCAGCCAGGGCTGATTTTTGTCTCCAGTGGGGCATTTGAAAAATTTTAAGAGACATTTGGGATTGAATCTAGTTGGTAGAGGGCAGCGATGCTGCTAAACATCCTGCAAGGTACAGGAGAACCACCACAACAAAGAATTATCTGCATCAATATGTCAATAATGCTGAGGTTGAGGGGGCAGAGGCATTAAAAAACTAGAAAAGTGGGCAAAAATATAAAATCGCACGAACATTTACAATTAGGTTAGGTTTAACATTATCCAAGTTCCTGCCTACTTACTTCTTTTTACCAAGTTTTAGTTGACCATCTGTCTTCTTTGGTGGTGCTGCGGATTGAACCAGAGCCTCACATGTTAGCCAAGCCCTCTAACACTGAGTTAGACCACCAGCCCAAGTTCTGGCTTTTTTTTTTTTTTTTTTTTTTTTGATACTGGGGATTGAACTCGGACCTTCCGCTTGCAAGGTAGGTGGCAGCACCACTGAGCTAAATCCCCAGTCCCCAAGTTCTGGATTTTTAAGAAGTTTAAAGGAACCTAGATTGTTTTTGTTTTTGTTTTTTTTGGTGCTGGGGATCGAACTCAGGGCCTTGCGCTTGCTGTGCAAGCAGCAAAACCACTGAGCTAAATCCCCAGTCCTCTTTTTGTTTTGTTTTGTTTTTGGTACTGGAGATCAAACTCAAGACCTTGCGCTTACAAGGCAGGCACGGTGCTGCTGAGCTAAATCCCCAGCCTTGTTTTTATTTCTTTCTAAAATATATCCCAGATTGAGAATGATCTCTCTGAAATTTTAGGTCAATGAAAATACATAAAAACTTTTAATAGCTCAGAAAAAAATAAGATATATAAAATGCTTAATTTCAAGATCTGCAAATAAATTCTCAATCTTTGTAAAAATGCAGTCACTTCAAGTTGAAAGGAAACAAGATGCATATGGCTTGTACTTTGTACTGTTTTACTAGTATACTCATTTTAAAAGTACAAATCAAATTTAAATTATATTAATTTTAATTACTCATACATGTTTGATGGGGCATTTTGCCAGCTTGACTTCTTTTTCTTTTATACTGTTATTTGTGATTCCCCACCTCATTATTTCTGATTCATGTTATACAGCACATACACATTAATAAACCACTAAAAATTGTAAGGTGGTACCCACAGAGTAATGACATAATTAAATCTAACCTATGGCAGTGAAAATGTAAACACCAGTTACTATAAGAAAAGGAATCATTAGCCAGAGGTAAATGAAAACAGATGATAAGTAGCTCTTATACTTTTGACTAACATTTAGAGTAATAGTCATCTTCGGTCTCACATGAGAAAAATAGTAATAAAGAAAAATGCAATAAAGTGGGGCCAGGGATGTAGCTCAGTGGTGCTGCGCCTGCCTGGCAAGCGCAAGGTCCTGAGTTTCTGGTATCAAAAGAAAGAAAACAGCAACAGAGTGGCCAGGCATGGTGGTGCATGACTATAATCCCAGCACTTGGGACGCTGAGGCAGGCGGATCGCTGCAAGCCAGCCTGGGCTACATGGTGACCTCAAGGACAACCAACTACCTAGCAAGACCCTGTCTCAAAAAAAAAAAAAAAAAAAAAAAAGATGCAATGAACTGATTTTAAAATTTAATTTAACTTTTGAGAGACTCCTAATAAATATAATCCAGTAAAGCTATTGCTTGAGGCTTTTGGCTGAGGTAGTAAGAGTTTTTGTATAGTATGAAGGTGCCTCTAGGGTAAAAAGATATTTGAAGAAGTACTGCTTATTTTTTATTAGAAAAAAATCTTATTTTATATTAAAACTCAAGAGCGGTTCCATATATTTGTCATATATGCAAATACCGAGTCTGAAAAGTAGGCTGAAAATCCTTAACTGTCCACTAAAATCATTTGATTTCAACCAAAAGGCAAATTCAATAGCTACAAGTCCCTCAAAGACATTTGAATGACAACACTGAAGATTCTTCTAAACTCATATTTTACATCTGAAAAATCTAGACAATTATTTGTGTCTTATATGCCCATGTAATTTAAGTTTTCAAAGTGATCATACCTCTTCAATACCAGCTATATTATTTACTGCCAGCTTTTTCAGAGAACTCTGAAGCTTTTTGTCATCAGCTGTAGCTGTTCTGTGTACCACCTTCTTCTTTCTGCGAGCTGTACCCTGAAAATTAATCAGAAATGTTAGCATACACTGCAACTGGCAACACCAGTCACATTTTCCTGTCACAATAATCAAACATAAAAACTAAATAGTAATGATTAGTAAGACTACTCAGAACTGTGACTATTAGCCTAACCCAGATTTTTTTTTGGTACCGGGGATTGAACTCGGGACCTTGTGCTTGCGTGGCACCACTGAGCTAAATCCCAGGCCCTTAACCCAGATTTTTGAAGCACAGTTCTAGATATTCTTTTCTTATCCAGTTATTTTTTTATTAGTACATGTTTGCGATATATAATGATTACAGGGAGTTGGTACATGTACATGATACATCTTAATTCGTTTTTTTACTCCCCTCTCCCATCTACTGGTCTGCTTCCCTTTTGTAAAAGATCTCCCTTTTGCTATTTATTTATATTCTGGGCCTGTGTGTCTGATTTATTTCACTTAACATTTTGGTCTCAAGGTGCATCTATTTTCCTATAGATGACTCAAGTTTATCATTCTTTATGGCAGAGTAGTACTCTATTGTGCATAAATACCACATTTTCTTTTTCCACTCATCTGCTGATGGACATATAAGCTGCTCCCAAGATTCAGCTATTATGAACTGTGCTGCTATAAACAAGGGTGTGCATGTATCACTGTAATATGATATCTTTAACTGTTTCAGAAAGATACCTTGGAGTGGGGGTGGGGGTGGATAGACAATTCTTATTCTTATCCAAAATCTAGCCTTCATTATTTCAACACATTGTATTTGAAAATATTGTTTGCTAATAAAACATACTTTACAACTTTAAGACTTAGGGTACACATATAACAATTTTTAAACATTATACAGAATGCAGCCTTTACCAACCACTGCTATAAAGTCTAAAGATAGTCACAATTAATGTCTACTATGAGAGTGTTCCGGAATGAAAAAGATCAAGTTCTTACATTATAATAAGAGGGAAGTCAATACATGCCTAAACAAATTAGGTCATTTCAAACAGGATAAAGGCTACTATGAAAAACAAAACAAAATGAAAGCAGGAACACAGTAATTAAGAGTGGATGGGTACAAAGCATTACTTTTTTAGCATGACCAGGAAAGGGCCCCCTGATGAGGTAACATATGTGTTGAGACCCACAACTAGGGGCTAAGTGATCCAAGCAAAATGAAACAAGATTGAATTTGTTCTTTTAGAGAAAAAGCAGGCCAGTATGGCTAAAGCAGAATGCATAATGGGAAAGGAGGAGGAAATGACGGAGCCAGCCGTCACTAGGCGAACAGTACCTGAGGAGAGGGGTGAAGATTAAGAAAAACAACACAAAATCGGGAGAAAAGAAAAGGAGAGGGAAAGCCTTCTCCTTCCCACTTTATTGAGCCTTTTATATATCCTCTTTCATCACCCACAGCCTCCCTCCCTTCCTCCCCTCATGAACAGGTGACTAATTATTTTTACAGGGAAAAGGTCAATTATATTTTTACAATTCCGGGAATGTTACTTTCTTGTCCAGCAGTCATTATGTTCTTATCTGACTCAAGAATCTCAAAAGGCTCAGGGTTGTTTCAACCCTTCGCTCTCCACAAGGAAAAGTGAAATCAGAAAGAGAGAAGGGCCACATCACATAGCCTAACATTTCATGGACAGTGTATTTTATTCTAATTGTAATAGAAAGCCTTTCAATAGTTTTAAGTATGGAGATGACTCACCTATTTACTTATGACTAAAGTTGCCTTGTGGAAAACAGACTATGAGAACAATCAGGAGGCCCTATAGCAATCCTGGAGAGAGTTGAGGGTTGCAGCAGAGAGGATGCTGAGGGGTCAGTTTGTCACAAAAGACAACATGATTTCTGACGGATTAGATATAGGATATGAGGAAAAGAAGAATCTAGAATAATGCTTAGGATTCTGGCCTGAGCAACAGATTGAAAATTACACTATTTACTGAAATACAAAAAGGTTATTTCTATATTGATACTTTAAACCTTAAATACATTTTTTCCATTGGAAAACTATTTAAAATAATAGATTAAATTCCTGGGCTAATTTTTATTTTTCAATTTTATTTGATTTTATTTTTTGGTACCGGGGTTTGAACTCAGGTCCTTGCACTTGTGAGGCAGGCACTGGAACCACTGAGCTAAATCCCTGGCCCTCCTGGGCTAATTTTTAAAAAAATATAACCTAAAGCAGAAGTCAAACATGACCAAAAGCAACCTAAGTTTTGAGGGTTAAAACTCCTGAAACTAGGTGGGTGCATGTGGTGGCAATGCCTGTAATTCCAGCATTCAGGCAGTGAGAGAAGAGGACTTCTGTGAATTCAAAGCCAGCATGAGCTACATAGTGAGTTCAATGCCACCCGAACTAAATAATGAGATCCTGTCTCAAAAAAACTAAAGAATACAAATCTTCCTAAAACAGGAGTGAGGAGAAAGGAATGGAGGTTTCACTGGCTGGGTAGCTACTACAGTAGTCCTTATTGGAAAAAAAAAAAAAGAAAAGAGGATTGGGCTTTTGTCTCAGCAAGTCCAATGCAAGAGCTCTGGCAACAGAGGCTGGAAAGACATGAATTGCTGGAAGGATCATTATCTACATAAATGGTCATGTATTTGTGAAGCATTCCTAACTCTTGATAGCTCAGTTCTGAGCTGCCTATTCAACGCAAATGACCCTCAGGTGCCTCAAATGCAGCATGTCTAAAGGGTTTTCAGTCCACCAATCTTTTATTTCCTAAGTTGTGTATCTTGTACACATATAAACCTAGTTTCTAAAACCAGAAGTCTGGGAAGTATCTCACACTACTCTCTGCCCTTCACATCCCCCATATCGCACCAGTCATTAAGCCATGTCAATTCCAAGCCCTAGATTGTGTCTCATATTTTATAGCAACAGCCTCTTACTTGTCTCTTTGGTAAATTTCCCTTTCATTCTATTTTCCACACTGCCAGCAGTTACTGTTCTAAAATGGCTGTCATTTCCTTCATAAAATTCTTCAATAGTTGCTCTCTGCCTATAAGATAAAATCCCAAGCTCCTTAGTATGGCATATAAAATGATGATGGGGCCCGGGGATTTAGCTCAGTGGTTCTGGCACCTGCCTCGCAAGCGCAAGGTCCCGAGTTTGATTCCCGGTACCAAAAAAAACAAAACAAAACAAATAAAATGATGATGGGACCTCCAAACTATCTGGTCATTTGATTTCCTCCTATTCTCTGTACATTATATACTCGACACCCTATCTCTATCAAACTAAAAGCCATTTCATTAAGCACCACGTTACATAAGCACCCTATAGGTTGCATGCGTGGGAGTAACGATCCTCTTTTTATCCTATCTCCCATAAAGTCTTTCATCTGTCTAATGATAAACTCTTGTTAATCCTTTAAATATCAGCTTTTGCCCTCTAGGCAAAAGCACCTTGTGTACTTCATTATAATACTCACTATTCTTTATTATAATTGTGAGTGTGTCTCTCATCCAAACTCAGCTGTGTCAAAAGCATATTTTGTTTATCTACTATGTGCTGGGCACATGGTTGAGTGCTCAATAAACAGGAGATAAATGAACAAATGACTAACCACTGGTTTAGAATACACAGTAGTGATACACTGCAACAAGCCTTTCCAGGTGTAGCGTTCTTGAATATCTCTGGGTTTTATATTGGTATATTACATCACACTTGAGGCTACAAGGTGACCACTGTGGTTACATGAATGTATTAATATTATTCCAGACTCACCTAACTGTATCACTTTGAAAGGAGAAAGTAGGTGTCTCTTCTTCCTTTCCCCCTCTCTTGTCCCCATCCCCAGAAGCTGTGTCATCACCAAAGTAAATGAGACAGTGGACCCTGCTGTCCTATCTACTACCTTTCCCCTAGGTCTGAGATAAATACTGTTCTCCCTTTTACTTTAAAAAATTTTTTTTTCCAGTTTTCTTGAGACAAGGCCTCACTATATACGCCAGGCTGGCCTACAGTGATCCTCTGGCCTCTTTTTTTTTTTTCCTTTGGTACCAGGGATCAAACTCAAGTCCTTGCACTTGCAAGGCAGGCGGTGGAACCAGTGAGCTAAATCCCTGGCCCTCCACCGGCCTCATGAGTGCTGGGATTACAGGGATATACCACCACACCCAGCTCCCTTTTACTTTTGCAAACATCGCACTGGGCAAAGATAGGGATAAAATATTCTCCTTGATGGTGGAGCCATCGCTGAAGAGAAATAAAAAGATTTCTGGGGGCTGGGGGTTTAGCTCAATGGCACTGCACCTGCCTCACAAGTGCAAGGTTCTGACTTCAATCCCCGGTTAACCGCCCCCCCCCCAAAGATTTTTGGTGCTCAGAACAAGCACTTCCTTAGGCCTTTTAAAGTACACAGAATAAGAAAACTCATGTTCGTGCTCGCTTCGGCAGCACATATACTAAAGAAAACTCATGTTCACATTCACCAGCATAGAATAGGTATGAATTTGGGGGGCAAATCTGGCAGTTGACAAAATACTATATCATCTTCCCCAGTTAAACCTCTTGGGAATCTAACTGTACCAGCAGGTTCATTCAGTCAAGGTGAGGAAACCCTAACAACTGGCATATCCTGCAGGTGGGTCTAACATTTCATTTATTTATTGGGCATCGACACTGTGCCAGATACCATGTTAGGTGTCTTGTGTTATTCTAAGCATCTTTTCAGATTATTTCTATTTTGCAGATTAAAAAAATGGAAGCTTAACAAGACTGGGTAACTTTTTCATGTTACATAACTAACAGTTAGAATTCAAACAAAGGTGGCTATTTCTACTGCACACCATCAGACTTGACAAATTATTTTCAAATTGGAATGTGGTTTGATATTGATTATTGAAAGGATTTTAGATTTTGAATGACCACAAATCCAAAATAATAATACTATCTGGTAATCATACATTCTCCTATCAGTTTTTCTTATGCCACACTCACCTTGCCCCCTATCCGGACCTGAGCCTGAAGTTTGGCTAACTTTTCTTGATTCATGCTGTTGGTAAATCTAGGGGGGGAAAAATAGATTTGTTAAAGTCACTGTTTTACCAAAATAAAAAAAAACTGTTTATGCAAACAGTACCTTCTGGTTCACTGAGTTTCCAGTATGCATTAACATCATGATCATATTAATACTGTCTATATTCTTAATATTAATAATTTGCTTCATAAATCAGGTATTTTAAAAATAAAAATTAAAATAATACCTCAAGATAATCAAATACACAAACAAAAAAGAATGGGATTCTAAGTCATTTATTGAAGATTTTGCCTTAAAATATGATTCAATTCCTTGGCATTCAGTAAAATCTAACCAATTATGAAATCTCTGTGGGCAAGCCAGGTCTTTTTCTCAAAAATTTTACAGCAGAGAACAGTTACCAAATGTTATTAGCAAAACCTTCAAGTAGATCATCTCCCAAATCACATCCTGCATTTCTTATAAACCATAAAGATGACAAAAAGCAAATGAGGTGGAGAAATTCAACAATAAGCTGCCTAGCTGTCAAGAGATGAGAATAGGCACGTCCTCTATTCAAGGTCAGATGAGGTGTTAATAATGGGGAAACAGAACAAGATTTCCAGACACTCAGTGCTTCTGCAGCATTCCAGCATTCATTCAATACCTTGCACTGACACAGTATGTCACATTTATCAAGATTCTTGCATAAAGGGTAAAATGCTCCACTGTACAATTTGACAAAAGTGTATCTCAACTACATTAATTACTAAATTGAGGGATGCTTCAAAATAAGGTTTTTACAGCTCTTGAAGATTCTAAGAACATTATAAAACCATAAATTTTAGTCTGGCCAATGATAGTTCTACTAAAGAAAACGTTTTCAAGTTTATAATGAATCTTAACATTCCACATTATATAAACAAATAAAAGCCAATTTAAGCCAGGCATGGTGGCAGATGTCTGTAATTCTAGTCACTTGGGAGGCTGAGGCAGAGGACCGCACAAGTTCCAGGCCTGCCTGGACAACTTGAGAGAGACCCTGCCTCAAAATAAAAAGTTAAAAAAGGGATGGGAATGTTGTTCAGTGGTGGAGTGCCCCTGGTTCTATTCTCAATAGCACAACCAACAACAAAAAAGAAGCCAATTTAAAAGTCTATTAAAAATCTTGTTTGATTTGTTCTGTGGCTCAATAGATCAATTCTGCGATGGGAGAGAGGGAATAAGGAGACAGGCCATTAAATGTTTTTTGGCCAATTCTCTTAACTCCTGCATGAATTATTTCAGGTGAAAAAAAATACTGCTTTCATTTGAGAGATTAAAGAAAAATCAAAAATTATATAATTACTAACCATTTCTGTACTGACACTGAACTTATATACTAACCTCTGCTATGTATCTCTGCTTTAAGGCTAACGTCCAGTTCCTAAATAACAATTAGAATCTGATTTCTTTTTATTCAGCATTGTATATCAATGCAAGCAGCTGGAAACATTTTTATGAGAATTCTGGTTACAGTGCAAAACAAGTGTTAGGTGTGTGCCAATCTCAGTTCTGCCACAGACTTAAATCTGATGATGTAAGTCCCAATCTTTTTATTCAAATATCCACAGAAAAGGATCAATATTCACTTTTCTCAAAACAATGTGTCCACAAAGGTGTAGTCAACTAACAAAGAGCTTAAGGAATTTTTCAAGAAAAGAAAGCTCAGTGAAAATACTAGTACTAAACACAGAGTAAACCCTTTGGGATTCTTCTGCATTTTGAAGTAATAATTCCCAAAAGAAGAGACGGACATTAGGAAGACAAGATATGAGTCCTGACTTGTTTGAAACAAAAGCAAAAACAAAAGTATTTCTTTAAATCAATGTGTAGCTGAAAGAACAGATTGCAAGTGGTTAGAATAACAGAACTGAGACTCTTTCTAAGGAGTATCTCAGAGAAAAGGCATTTTAGGGAGGCCAGAAGCTCAAAGCAGTAGGAAAGAGAAGTGTGGTCCTTTGTCTAGTTGGTGAGTGTGGAATTCAATTTGGAAAGAGGCTTGGATTCAGTCTGAGAGAAGAGATGTCAAGCTCAGAATCTTGGGAGTAGACCTCAAAGATCACCTGGTTTAATTCTCTATTCTTCAATCTTTATTGTACTTGTCATTCCTGTCATATGTGAGGCCATCACAAATAACCTGCTAGGAGCAGCAGGACATCAATAAAAGTTCATCTCCTTCCCAATTTAACAGAAAATGAGGTTCCTTTCTATGACGAAAAGGAGTAACTTCCTACAGCCACATGATTAATGAATGCTTCCTTGGGGATCAAAGGATCTGTCAGTATTTCCCCATACTGAAGAAAGTGTAATAATGAGGTTAATACAAATTGAGTGCCTAAGTTCCAAGTGCTGCCGTAGGCTTCTTCATCTACATCATATTTTACAGATATAAAAATAATTTTAACTTTTAGTCGTGACTTTTTCTGAGGTTTCTCTAAGGTTAAGTACAGATTGTGAAATCAGAAAGACCAAGGCTACCACTTAAGGTTTCGCAGTTATTTTCCTTCTTTGAATTCGTGATCCTCTTGGGATTAGAAAAGGTGTAACACTACATATTTCATGAGGTTGTATTTGGGGGGGGGGAGTACCAGGGATCGATCGAACTCGAGATCTTGAGCTGGCGAGGCAGGAGGCGGAACCACTGACTTCAAGAGGTTGTTCTGAGAGTTATAAAGGTAAGATTGTCAAGCACAGGGTTTGACTCTTAGAATATACTTAGTAACTGGTAACTACTGTTTACCACTCGCGAGGGAATAGCTAAAATACAACGTAAAAACGTGAGAACGGAAGTTGAAACCACCATTCACAAGCAGTGTAATAATGTGGCTGTCCAGCAATCATCAGGCAGTATCGCAAAAGGGAGCCACTTTGTAAACAAAACTGCCATTACAAGGTGAAGAGCGCTGCAACCGAGTTCGGTCCCAAGAGCTCGGGGCGGGAGGGCTAACCTCAGTTTCCCTATCTGTAGCCTGGGAGCATCAATGAAATGACAACAGAAAAGCTGTACAAAGAGCAAATGCTCACGACTCTGCTGCTGTGAATAATGAGGAGTAACGGGACCGGGGGGGGGGGTCTACCCGCCTCCTGGGATGGCTCCGCGCGGCCACAGCGCCGGCCCGCTCGCCTCCACAAGGGGTGGTGATGCTGGGGACCTTCCCCCAGGTGCCGACCCCCAGCTGCGCCGCCGGTGAGCGACAGGCCGAGCCAGTCGCCTCCGCCCCCACTCGCCGAGCCACGGCGGAAGTGGCAGCCCGAGCGGTTGGCGGGTGTCGAAAGAAGAGGGCGGGGGAAACACCGTGCGCAGCGGCTTAGGGCCGTGGAGTGGCGGAACCGCCGGGGGTCTCACCTGAAGCAGGGAGGGTGCTCCAACACCAGCACGCGGCAAGAGCAAGATGGCTACCTCGGCCGAGACAGAGAAAGACGGCGGCGGCAGTGGCGGTGGCGGCGGCGGGCGCTAGGCCCACGTGACTCGCCCGGCCCCGCCCCCTCGCGGCGGCCAATCCCGCGAGCGCATAGGCCAACTACAAAGCCCAGCCTGCTCCGCGCCTCCCAATATTTCTATAGACGGTGGGGGCCGGCAGACTAGCAGCTTCCGGGAGCTTGCAGTTCCCTAAAGCGTTGTATTGTGCCAGTTCTTAGAATTTGTCCGTAACCTAAAGCATTGAAAGGAAGGTGTGTGGTTTTGATTGGGTGTGTGTTTTTTTAGGATGTCTTTCACTATGCATTAAATATGGACTGTTGGATTCCAAGTTAGTAGCAGGAGGAAAGAAGGGAAATTTTGATCTGTTTGCTGTGTAGCAAAGCTGGGAAAAGTAGGAGGAAATACACCGAGAGAGAGGGAGGGAGGGAGAAAGAAAAAATACACCACCCACAACAATAAACATTTAACCATAAGAACTTTTACACTTTAAATGTCTAAAGTGACTTATACCCTGATTCCCTTGGTCCTAGTTAGTATCGCAGTAAGAGGCCCCAAGTCTTTGTTGGAGCTTGCATCAGTTCGTTGCATCATCCCAAGTGGTAGCAAAGAATGGTGAGGTCCGGCGCTTTTCCAGCCACAAAGTGCACGTGTGCAAGGCACGAGATCGTGCACGGCAGAATGGATTTCGAAGAGACCTGAGCAGAATAAAATCCAGTTGTCCATTTTTTTATTTGCGGAGGAAGAAGGGGTATTCAAGGCCAGTAGGCGAGCAGCCCACTCTTGGGAGAAGCTGACCTCACCGATCAATAATCTGCGTTTTGAATATTAAATTCAGCGGTCCTCTGGAAGAAGAGCTAGACTTACTAGCGGATGCAATTAGCAACTGTTCTGGAGAACCTCTTCCTGTCCCCGCTACCTCGGCCCACCTTTTTCCTCTCCGCCTCGAGACCTGCAAACCAGGATCAGTGGAAAGCAACCCGTGCTCGGAAGCAACCACATGACCCTTCTACGTGATCTGCACCTTTAAACTCACTTCTTCTCTAACGGGACCCCGGAGGCACCACCCACATCCGTCTAACATCACTTCCTTCAGAGTTTGGGAAAAAAAAAAAAAATCTGGGTACGCGAGGAATTGGGCTGAGCCGCGCTTGGGGAGCGAGCGGACCTTCTGCCGAGACTGCCAGTTCAGACGGGTGGCCCCGCGCGCCAACCCCAATGGAGATGTGGCCTCGTCTTGGGGCCACCTGTTTGCTGGGCTTCAGTTTCCTGCTTCTCGTCACCCCTGATGGACACATTGGGCTTGGAAAGGGTCAGACCGCATTCTTACCTTAATCTTTTACTGTTCCTGGCTCCATCCGAGTATAACCCTCTTCTTGTCCTAACACAGCCCCCCACCCCCCCGCTATCTATCCCTTAGGTCACACCAGCTTCTTTTTTTTTTTTTTTTATCTTCCCCAACCGCTCCTAGGGAGTTTGAGAATTTATTGGGGGTAAGGAGTAGTGGGTCTGAGGAAGGTTTAAATGGGGAAGTTATACTTGAGACCTCTCAATTAATTAATTCTCCGGTTAGGGGAAGAAATGGGCCTTAAAATTAGGAAAAGAATGTTAGTGCTATGCTTCTGGAAGGTCCTCAGGAATGGTCACCTTCCCTCCCGGAAGAAGTAGGGTCGTGGGGGACTTGGGACTCCTGAGCTGGGTCTGAAGATTGTCACTTCCTGAAGAGCTAGGTTACTGCCTCCTCCTTGCCCTGGGGAGACAGCATCTTCGTCCCAGGGGGTTGCACAAGAAAGGGCCATATGAGGAATAGAAGATCTGCTGTTAGAGGGTTACTAACAGTCATCTTGATGTATGTAGTTCAGCCACTGAGTCTGAAGAAACTGATTTTTTTTTTAGGGGATATCAGTTGTTATGAGTGTCAGTTAAGAGATGTGACCCCTACTCCATCCCACCATCTACACTATATCTTCATTCTGAGCTTGAACACCTTTCTCCTCAAGAACTCTTGGTTGAGAATCGGATTGAAATCTGTGAACTTAGGGTTTAAACTTTTCTAAGTGGGTGAGTTGTGGATAAATCCCAAACTCTTCCATTTTCTTGTACTGACCTTACTATGTGAGATGATTCTGCTGCAATTTTGATGTTTTTAATTGTGTTCTCTTATCCTCTGTATTTTCACATTTATTGGTGTATGGTAAAGAGATAATGAGATTGGTTGGACATTCAGTGCGTCTGAGTAATCACTCCTTCAGCAAGTAATTTTTTTTTTTGATACAAAGCCTAGCTATGTAGTTCAGGCCAGCCTGATACTGTATCCCAGTCTGGCTTTGAATTCATGCCAAACCTCCTGCCTCAGCCTCCAAGAGTGCTGAGATTACCAATGTGCACCACCATGCCCAGTGTTCAGTAAATAATTTTTGATCACTTGTCATATTTCAAGTAGTGTCCTCAGTACTAGAGACATAACAATGAACATGACAAATCTCTCATGGCGCCCTTATATGCAAGTCAGAGTACTGTAGCTCATGAACAAATTAAGACATTTTCAGCTACAGATACAAAACTGTGATAAGGTAGGAAGAAAAAGGCTGGGGAGGATGAGGGAGCTGGCATAACCTCCATTAGGAAGACGAGGGAAGCTGGGGAATTAGCTCAGTGGTTCCACTGCATGCCATGAAAGCGAAAGGACCCGAGTTCAATCCCCAGTACCAAAAAAAAAAAGAAAAAGAAAAGAAAATACTTTACTCTGTTTCAATTACAGAACTGTGTTAGTTGTAGACAGTCCCTTATAGTCATGTATTCAGTAGTATTCCTTGTTAGTAAGCTCTGGGTGGTTGTTCTAGTTACTATTCTATTGTTGCATAATAAACCACCCCAAAATTTAGTGATGTAAACAAATCATTTTATTGTGGTCGTTATGTGGCTCAGGAATTTGAATGAGGGGAAGGCTTTTTTCTCTTCTATAATGTATAGGGCCTGTGGCTTAGCTGGTTACCTTTCTCCATGTTGTCTTTCTGTGTGGCCTAGTAGCTTCCTTACAGTGTGGCAGCTGGATCCCAAGAGTAAGTGCCACAGGAAAGCAAGGTGGGGAATCCATGACATTTTTATATCCTCATATAGCATCACTTCCAGTGTACACTGTAGGGGCAAGTTCAGAAGGAAGGAGCATTACAGTACAGGATTATAGAGAAATTTAATTTAACTTGATATTAATTTAGCTTCCTTGACTTTCTTTTTGTTGTCATTTGCCTGGTATTTATTTCTTGATCATTTTATGTTCAACTTTTACTAGTCCTTTTGTTTTAGATATGCTTTTATAAACATCATAGTGATACAGGGGGAATAAATAACTCCTAACCTGTTAGATGTCAGATATGCTGAGTTCATGTTCCCCAAAATCAAAGAATGAATTCTAAAGAAACAACAGAGGTTAAGAATAGGAAAATTTATTGAGAGAGATAGCTCCTGAGAGACAGGAGAGGACCTGAAAGTGGGTTGCCAATGATCCTACTTCTCAAAGGAAGTTTTTTAGAGTAAAATCATGAGGTGAGTACAACGTGGTACTCTATGACAACGTGAGTAAAACTATGATCAACTGGGGCTGGGGATTTAGCTCAGTGGTTCCGCCGCCTGCCTTGCAAGCTGAAGGATCCGAGCTCAATCTCCAGTACCCAAAAAAAAAAAACTATGATCAACCAGTAAGATTACAAGTATAACTGCTTAGGTAATGTTGAGGCAATGGGGAAGCAGGTCATGTAGCAAGTGTACCTGGAAGGAACAAAAACATTTTTAGGAAGGGATGAATTAGGACTTGTCCTAATCACCTGCCTGAGTGACTGATGTCTATCTAGACTTTATTGGAGCAAGTGATACCACTTATCCCTTGGGGAAGTATGTAGGCCTGGTCATTCCAGCTTTATCTTGAGTCCAGGCCTTCAACAGATGCGCCTCCAGCCACAGTTGTACAGTGGATCCTTGACTTACATACTTGCTCAGTTCCCGAGGGCTAGTTGTAACTCAAATTGGTTGTAAGTCAATACAGCTGAGATCTGGATGTTTACCTGGGTACATGATGGCAATAACAAGAGCCAGATGAATCTTCCATTAACCTAATTAACCCAAGTTGTTCATATGTCAGGCCAGTTGTAATTTAAGGGTCTGCTGTAATGTGTTCACTCATCTTCTGCACTGACTCCCTCAAGGGCCTAGCCTCGTCTGACTGCCTATAATATTTCTACCTAACTTAGCTGTCCATAATAATAGTATTTTTTTAAAGTTAAAACTGACAATTTCATCTTTTAACTTTAACTGGTGAGTTTAGCTCACTTATATTTTTTGTAATTATTGACAGAGCTACTCTTTTCTTTCATCCAGTTTCCATCTCTGCTACTGGTTTTTTCGTCTCCAAAAAAGTTTATTAGCATGATTAAAAACATTTTCTTGAATAAAATAAAGCAAAATTTCATAATAAATTAAACAATAACATTAGTTAATTCACTGTGTACCACAATATTAAAAGAATGGCCAGGGCCGGGGATTTAGCTCAGTAGTTTTGCCACCTGCTGCACAAGCACAAGGACCTGAGTTCGATTCCCTGTTCCCCCGAAAAAAGAATGGCCAAAATGTTACAGTACAAGTTATAAACAAAAAAGACTTAACCAAAAAGAAACAAGGGCCAGGGATTTAGCTCAGTGGTGATACCCCTGCCTCACAAGTGCAAGGTCCTGAGTTCAATCCCCAATACCACAAAAAGAAAGAAAGAAAGAAAGAAAGAAATAGATAGATAATAGCATAAAACTTTCTTTTCAATGAACTAAGAGGACCTAGTGGTATGAATGAAACAGGTTAGCATATATATTGAAATATTTTTGGAACTACAGAATATATAATTTGGGGAATTATTAGAACTCCCTACTCCCTATTTCTGTCTTTTTTTATGTTTTCTTTAACTTTTAATAAAAGCTATGTACAATAAAATTTTACTGTATTGTACATAAGATAGGAACTGCAGGAATTTACATAGATTAGAAGGAAGATAGATGGTTAAGGAGGGCCCTGTCCTGTGGGATATTTTCTCTGACCATGAAAGTCAGAGTTCAGTTGGGGAAAGGGGTTCAGACTGCTAGATTAAGTAAATATTAAAAAAATAAAAAAGCTAAAATGTAGGCTTTTAGGTAGATAACCAGATGCTGGGACCACCAATATTTCAAAGGCACCATTCTTTTTTTTTTTTTTTTTGGTACCGGGCATTGAACTCAGGTCCTTAGCTTGCGAGGCAGGCAGTGGAATCACTGAGCTAAATCCCCGGCCCAAAGGCACCATTCTTAAACACAGCGCCCATCTAATCATCTATATGGATTCTTGCCTGTGACTTAGGAAATACCATTGCAAAGATGTCTTTCCCATTAAGCAAAGTCTCAAACATTCATTCAATCCTGGACATACAGATGACTTCTACTACTGTTTTTTTATGCTTTTTTCCCCCTCCTTTTTTGGCTCTGTCTTTAGGATTTAAGTATTTATGTGTTCTTATTTTATCTCCTTTATTAGTTTTGTTTTGTTTTTTTTTTTTTGTACCAGGGATCAAACTCAGGACCTTGCGCTTGCAAGGCAGGCAGTGGAACCACTAAGCTAAATCCCTGGCCCTCTCCTTTATTAGTTTTGAAGTTGGTACTCTAGTTCTTTTAATGGTTACTTTTGAAAATGTACTTGCATTCTTAAAAAATAACATTAAGCTGGACATGGTGGTGCACACCTGTAATCCTGCCACTCTAGGAGGCTAAGGCAGGAAGATTGCAAAAGTTCAAGCCCAGCTTTAGCAATTTCACAATTTAGTGAGACCCTGTCTCAAAATAAAATTTTTAAAAAGACTAAAAAGATAGATCAGGGCCAAGGCCCTGAGTTCAATCCTCAGTATTGGAAAACATGAAAAACCTTTACACTATCTTAACCCCCAACTGAAAGAGAGCCTGAGAATAATTTCAGTCACTCCCTTTATAAGCAGTTGTTGTCAGTAATTTAATTTAATTTTGAGGAGGGATTGAACTCAGGACCTTGCATTTGCGAGGCAGGTGCAGTGGCACTGAGCTAAATCCCCAGCCCTGTAATTTAATTTTTTGAGCTTTTTTTTTTTTTTTTGGTACCAGGGATTGAACTCAGGACCTTGCACTTACAGGGCTGGCGTGGTGCCACTGAGCTAAATCCCCGGCCCTGCAATTTAATTTTTTTACATGACAAATTGAGTAATACAAATTTTTATTCATACAATATTTAGATTTATCTACATGTTGTCCCATTTATTTGTTCACTTTCTTATATCTAAGGTTCCTTTTGGGACCATTTCCTATCTGAAATGTGTCCTTTATCTATTCTTGTAGTTTTCTCTTCTCTGAGAGGACTATTCCATTCTTCCATCTTCAAATCTCCAATACCTCCTTCACAACCCTTGTTCACTGTTGATGGCCATGGTTATTGATTAACAGAAGACAAAAGGAAAAAGAAGGGGCCTTTCAAAGGTTCTAGGCAGGGTGGGAGATTTAGCTCAGTGGTCCCGGTGCCTGCCTCGAAAGCACAAGGCCCTGATCCCCAGTACAACAAAAAAAAATTCTAGGCATGCAGTTGAACTTGTAACACTCCCTGTTGCCTGCTTTCAGTGTAAAAGCCAAAGCAATCCCATTAATACTCAGATTACATCACACTGATATTATGACTTTGTTCAAAACTCCAGTAGCTCAGTAAAAGCTAGTCTTTACAGCAGCCTGCAAGGCCCTGCATTGTCTGCTCCCTCCGTTTCCCCTTTGTTCCATATGTCCTTCTATTTTATCACATAGAACATATTATGTAGGGCTTAACAACTAAGAGTTGGAACACTGACTGCCTAGGTTCAGATCCCAGCTCTGATGTTCACTAGCTGTGTGACCTTGGGAAAGTTATTTGAATTTTGTGCCTCAGTTTTCATTATCTGTTAAATGGAGTTAATAGGGTTGTCACAAAGATCAGTATTTGTACAGTATTTAGAATAGTGCCTGACATTTTTGTAGTAGCAAATACAGCAATTCTCAAGTCCTTTTCTAAGGTATTATCTTTATATTGTAGCTGAGGAAACATTTTACAGCTTGAGTAAGTTACTTAAATAGCCCAAAGTCACACAGCTACTAAGTGGGCAGAACCAGGATTCAAACCCAGGGAGTCTAAGTCTAGAACCCATGCTTTTTACATGATCTTGCTCAATGAATATTCATTTATTGAAATAATAAATAGAAATATATGATGGGGGAAAAATCTCTTGGCTTATCTAAACATGTCTGTTTTGTCGTTTGTTTTATTTTATTTATTTGTTTAGTTTTTGCTGTGCTGTGGATCTAAGCTATGCTTGTCAAGTTCTCTGCCACTGAGCTAATCCTCAGTCCTGTCCTGGTTCTTGAAAGATAATTTTTTTTTTTGGTACTGGGGATTGAACTCAGGGATCTTTCACTTGCAAGGCAGGCGGCGGAACCACTGAGCTAAATCCCCTGCCCTGTCTGTTTAATTCTTGATCTTTTGAGGGAAATGTTATTTCTCTTTGACTTTTTTCTAAATTACTGGGGGCTATGACTTCAACATATGAATTTGAGGCGTGGTGATGTACAATTTAGGGCATAACAATATGTAGTCCACATTATAGTGTCATACAGAATAGTTTTAAATTGCTATAAAAATACCCTATGCTGTTCATCTCTCTTTTCTCCATAATCACTGCTCTTTCTACTATCTCCATAATTTTGCCTTATCAGAATGTTGTAATTCGAATTGACTTCTTTCACTTAGCATTATATATATAAGGTTCCCACATGTCTTTTTGTAGCTTGATAACTCATGGCTTTTTACACTGATTATCCATTCACTTATATTTCAACAATTATATTTTTTATTTCTTTAAGTACTATTTGGCACCTTCACAGATGTTCCTATGTATTTTGTGTGTTGCTTGCCTGTTTTTGTGATTCCACGTGTTATTTCTTTAAACATTCCATACATATTTTTTATGTTCTGTAGCTATTAATTCTAATATCTGAAGTCTTCAGGGGGGTCTAAACCTGTTGCTTGTGATGACTTTTTTCTTACATTTTTGACCATCTATGATGGTGAGCTCATAATACTTTTTCTTCATCATCGATTATCCTGCAGGCCTAAAGTATAATGTTTCCCTCCAAAAAATTCAGCATTTGACTCATTTGGAAACCAGGCAGTGCTACTGACCTGCAACCACCCTGGTGTTTTTTTGAGGGTTGGGTCAATGTGAGAGTCTTCATTTTGCCATATCATAATGGATATTTGATTTCAGGGCAGTCTTACATTTTGTTTGTTCTCACTCTTTGTCATCTGAGGTTAGCTTGCTTTGTGTTTATAGAGAGATTTCCATTATTACTGCAAGTCCATTGAGTACATTCTGAGAGTCTTTTTTACCTACGATTTCATTGCTTTGTAGGTGGTTAGCTCTTTAGGCTATTTTAATTGGGCATCCTACCAAAATAGGATTCAGTTGTCTGGGTTTAGAGATTGTATATAGAATGGTGGTGACCACATTAGGCACCTTCCAGTCCTCTTCGGTGTCTTCCTGATTTCACTCTCAACTGTTCACTCTTCAGGACCAAACTTTGGGCCCTAGACAAGTGACACATTTTGTCTTGACCAGCAGGGAATAATAAGTAATGGGTATTTTGGGTGCTCCATGTGTTAATTGGGGTGAGATTTTTATTTTCCTGGGGCAGTGCTGATAGAAATTAGATTTGAATTTATTTCTGGAAAGAAAACTCTGGAAGACAGACGTAGTAATCAAAAGAGCACAAGAATGAAGTTTAAATCCCAGCTTGGCCATTTAGCAGCACTGTGACCTGATAGAGCTGATGTGACTTTGCTGAGCCACAGAAATCTCAACTGTAAAGAACAGTAAAAGCAAAAAAAAAAAAAGAATAGTAAAAGCTACTACTTACCGATTGTTTACAAAATGCCAAGCATTATATCTATATATCTCTCTATATAGATATAGATATAGATATTTATTTAATATTCAGTAATATCTTTATGGGATATCGCCTACCATTTGGTGCTGGAGATTGAACGTAGGGTCTTGTGGGTGTTAGGTAGGCACTACACCACTGAGCTACATCCCTACCCCTTTTTTACTTTAAGACAGGATCTTGGCTGGGGATTTAGCTCAGTAGTTTCACCGCCTGCTACGCAAGCACAAGGACCCGAGTTTGATCCCCGGTACGAAAAAAAAAAAAAAAAAAGACAGGATCTCACTAAGTTGTCCAGTCTGGCCTGGACTTGTGAACCTCCTGCCTCAGCCTACTAGATAGATAGGATTGTGTCTACCCTAATGACTGGCTGCAGTATGGTTATTATACCTGTTTTAATGATAAGAAAATGGAAATGTAGAGAAGCAAAATAAAAATGGCTTCTTATTAAGGCCAAATTTCAATGAGTTAGCACATATAGAATGCTGGGCAAATACTATAACATGGTTAATAAATAGCTACTAATACTATGATCATTAACATTTTCTGGATATGCAATTAAGTCTTTTGTGCAATGTGGCCTAAATAACATTCATTTACTTAAAAACTATTTTCTGGATCACTTGTGACAGCCATGTGTACTGTTAAATGTTAGGAAACCAGGGAAGAATAAGACAAATATGATCCCAGCATTTAGGTCACTCTCTTGAAGTGAAAGAGATGGATACATACATGTTTACACCTGGGGCTAGGAAGTGCTGTGGTGGAGCAAGAATAGGGTGGTTTGGCAATGGAGATTTATCAGAAGAAATACTGTCCCTGTTTAAAAAACTGAGTTGGAGGTGAAGGTAAGGATTAAAGGCAAAGAGAGCAATTATGAAGGAGGTAAGAGAGGACATGCTACATTTAAACCAGTGAAAGTACATCTGTGTATGGGGTTTTAGGAAAAATGTGGAAAGTGAGGCTGGAGAGGTGGACAGGTGCCATATTCTTAAAGCATTTTTGTAATCCCTGCTTCAAGAATTGGTCCTTTTATCTTTAGGATATTGGAAGGCTTCTGAAAGTGTTCTTAACCATCAATGATGTGATTGAAAAGATCACTCTGGCTAAACTGTGGGAATAATAACAACAATAACTTAAAATACATTACCCTGTTTAATCTTTACATTACCTGACACTCAGGGGTAGGTATTACCTTGATTTTACAGATGAAGAAATTGGGATTTAATTCATTCACAAAAATTCACCCAGTTAATGGGAAGAGGTATCCTAAGCCCACTGTGTCATCTTCAACTTGTTATGATTTGTCATAACCTGTGTTGTGTTTGTGAAAATTCTCATTCTTATGGTATTTTTGGAATAATTTGATAGTTTACAAAGCATTTCACATTATTATTTAATTTAATCTTAAAAACTATCAACTAGGTAATGTTACCTTCATGTTACAAGTATGAAAATTGAGGTTTGGGGTATATACAGCAGACCCTTGACTTACAAAGTACATCAGTGCCCAAGAACTGGTTCTAACTCAAGTTGGTTGTAAGTCAATAGAGCTGAGAGCTGGATGTTTATTTACTTGGGTACACACTATAGATAATAAGAGGCAGATGAATCTTCCACTAACCTAATAACACAAGTTCTTCGTATGTTAGGCCGGTCATAACTTGAGGATCCACTGTATCTTGTAGTGAAACTGGGTCTTGAACACCAGGCTCTCGACAGAAGAAATCCCATTTTGTGGGTATCTTATGAGCATAACACACTTCTTTCTTACATCTGTGCCCATTGTTCATTGTGTGTGTGTTTATAAAGCTCTTTCCTTCCAGGTTTTGGAGACCATATTCATTGGAGGACACTAGACGATGGGAAGAAAGAAGCAGCTGCCAGGTACAAAACATGATTTTAGGTCATTTGTGGTGGTTAAACTCTTTCTAGTCATCAACTTAGTATGAATTTTGGGTGAAGGGCTATGCCAAAACACAGCAAGAACTGAATAATTGCCTAAAAACAATACTGGTTAACATTTCTTAAGTGCTATGTATGTACTATGTACTATGGATTAAATTATGTGAATTAACTCTTTATGCTCACAATAACTAAGTGGTGAGTTCTGTTGGCACTTTTTTGAGATGAGAAAACTAAGGCACAGAACACTTAAGCAACTTGTCCAAGATTACACATTAAGGCTGGCAGAGCCAAGATTCAGGTGCAGACTTCAGCACCTGTACTCTCAATCAGAATATTATGCTGCCTACTAGACTTAAGTTAAACAGTCTTTTGTCCCAAATAGGTTCAGTTTATGCACAATTCAGAGCATAAGGAGGAGGAAAAGATGAGGGGGTAAGGCTAACAATGTCAACTTTATATGCAGTGATTTATTTAATCTTCACAACAATCTATGAAGTTGGTTCACTTATGAAGTTATTTGATAGAAAAAGAAATTGAAGTATAGAAAAGTGAAATAATTTGCCAATAGTTAAACTACTAGTAAGTGGCAGAGCCAAAACTTGCATTTTCTTTACTATATTGTTCTGGAGAGATACAGAGACCTTTTCTACCCCAATATGTGAGTTCCTTCATTGTACACACACACTTGTAGAGACACACACTTCTGGACTCACCAAATTGTAGTGCTTGCTGTTCCTAGAACCAGATCCTACAGTTTCATGGTTCTGGGTCCAAACCTCCTGCAGTAGAGTTGTCAGATTTATCAGATAAAAAGTTCTTTTAAAAAAGGATGTCTAGTTAAATTTGAATTTTAGATAAACAACAAATAAATATGTCCATGCACTTTGGGGACATACTTATATAACCTTAAATGTTTCTTATTGTTTATTTGAAAAATATCAAGGGATGTCTCTGGACAGTTTTTCTCTTCTGTTCTTTTATAGCCTATCCAAAATCTGCCTGTTACAGCATTTGTTATTCCGAGTGACTAAGATCACTGATTTCCTGTGGGGGAATCGCTTTGTGTTCGTACGTGAATCTCAGCCATGGAGATGTTAAGAGATCGAAATGGTTGTTGAATAAACATTTACTGAAAGCCATGAGGTGTAAGAGTAGGCATGAAGGGGAACAAGCATTTATGAATTGACATTTGTATGCTAAATATAGTGCCAGTAGTATTGCAGTATTTCATGCGTGTTAAATTCTCTTAAATAAATGGATGGGTATAGCCTTTGAACCGAAGAGAGATCACATTGTCCTGAAACCTATAACATTTGGGATAAATAACTGATGCCATTCTAGTCTCTGTGACTGTTTTCTGAGGAAACTTGACCTAAGCCTATTTGGCATAGATGTCTCCATAGAAACAGGAGATCCCGTTAGAGCCCAGAAAGGCAGGAAGTGTAGCTTGCACTTCCGTTTTACGCCAGAGACCCGGAAGTTGGCGTAGCGAGGTTGTACATGGCCGCTCCCAGAGAGGATGCCGCTGGTTGTTCTTTGTGGGCTGCCGTACAGCGGCAAAAGCCGGCGTGCTGAACAACTGCGCCAGGCTCTGGCAGCCGAGGGCCGCTCGGTGTACGTGGTGGATGACGCCTCGGTGTTGGGCACAGAGGACGCGACCGTGTACTGCGACTCTGCCCGTGAGAAAGCATTGCGTGGGGCCCTGCGAGCCTCGGTGGAGCGGCGCCTGAGTCGACACGACGTAGTCATCCTAGATTCGCTTAACTACATCAAGGGCTTCCGCTACGAGCTCTACTGCCTAGCGCGGGCGGCGCACACGCCGATGTGCCTGGTTTATTGCGTACAGCCTGGGAGTCGGAGCCTAGGACGTCCGGTGGACGAAGTGGAGGAGCACCAGGGGCGGAACCTGAGTGTGAGTTGGAGGCCGCGCACGGAAAAGGGCAAAAAACTTAAGGCGGCCGGCTCCGAGGCACCGCAGGTTGTGGGCTCTGTAGTAAATGGGGAAGCCCGAGACGACGTACCTAGGGAAGTGGAGCGGAAGGAGACTGGAGCCTCAGATTGTCCAGCTCTAGTGACTGTGGAATCTGAGAAATCTGCAAAGCATGTGTCGGGTGCCTTTTACTCTCCCGAACTTCTGGAGGCTCTAACGCAGCGCTTTGAAGGTCCTGACTCGAGGAACCGGTGGGATCAGCCTTTGTTCACTGTGGTGGGCTTACAGGAGCCTATGCCCCTGGCCGAGATCCAGGCTGCCTTGTTTGAGAACCGGGCTCCCCCACCCCATCAATCTACGCAGTCCCAGCCACTTGCTTCCAGCAGCTTTTTGCACCAGCTGGACCAGGTCACAAACCGAGTCTTGACTGGACTGTTGGAGGCACAAAAGAGCGCTGTCCCCGGGGACTTACTAACACTTCCTGGTACTTCGGAGCACCTGCGGTTTACCCGGCCTTTGACCATGGCAGAACTGAGTCGCCTCCGTCGCCAGTTTATTTCCTACACTAAAGTGCATCCCAACAATGAGAACCTGCCACAGCTGGCCAACATGTTCATTCAGTATCTGAGTCAGAGCTTGTACTAATCAAAGTGGTGGGTGAAGCCATGGTTCTTGTCTGACATCCATTGCACTTTGTAGCAGGAATAATTTGAAGATTTGCAGAGCTAGTTGATACAGTGGTAGAGCTGTTGAGTTTGATTCACTCAGACTTTTCTGGCTGCCTCTGTACCAGGCACTAAGCATTGAGACTAGAGAGAACGAAGAATAGCTTGGAGGATCTTGGCAGATTTCTTCAGCAGACAGAGCTCAGGTGGACCAGGAGCATGTAGGTTGGATTCTACTTGGAATATCACACAGTTGATTTTCTCTGAGTTGTGGGTGAGCAGACTGTATGGATGAGAATTGCTTTAAAAAAATAGTGAACAGAAACTAAAGATGGCACAATTCTGTATCTGCACTTACTCTTTATACAACAAATACTTTTTGAGTATTGTACCTACTTTTGCCAACTTTCATCGTGGTGCTGGGTTCACAGATAAATCCTTTGTTTTCTGTTCTTGGGAAGCTTTGATTTTTGTGGAAGTGAAAGGCATAACTACTAGATTGTTTCCTCTAATAAAATATTTTAAAAGTAGAGTCCGCCTGGGTCTCTTAATTTAACTTAATGTTATCCATTTATTTTAATGTGACATTTTATATACACATCCATCATTGGCATTTTTTGTTTGTTTGGTTGGGGTTTTTTTTGGTACCTGGGATCAAATTCTGGACCTTGCACTTGTGAGGCAGGCACCGGAACCACTGAGCTAAATCCCCGGCCCTCTTGTTTGTTTTTGTGAGACAAGATCTCACTATGTAGTCTAGGTTGGCCTCAAACCATGATCCTCCTGCCTCAAGTCTTGTGAATCTAGGATTATAGGTGTGGACTGCCACACCCAACTCACATGTGTTATTGCTATACCTTTGGCTGAAATAATATTTTGATAGTACTCAGAGACTAGATTGGTCTCACCTGGAGTGATTATGACAACTTACATAATTATTGTGCTTTATAATGTATTTCACTGTGAGCTTGTTTTTTTATTCTTTTGTTGTTTTCATTGAACTGATAGTATACCTACTTTATCAATGCCTGTGATTTCTCAAACTAATTGACCTTGAGTGAAATGCAGACAGACTATTGGATGTAAAAAGCTAGTGGTCAGAGGATGATGATAAAATTCTTGAGAGCCCAGATGAGAGAAGAACTAACTAGCTGCTGGGAGAAGGTGGTTTGGGGAATGCTTCACAAAGGAGCTAACATTTGAACCATCATTTTACAACAGTGTTCACAAAGGGCCAAACAGTAAATGTATTAGGCTTTGTGGTGTCTCTTGCTACATATATACCCAATAACAAAGTAAATGAGCATGAGTGTGTTCTAATATGGTAAAACTATAGACATACTGTTTCTTGACTTTTTGGCTAAAATCAAGTGTAGTATCAGTTTAATATCTGATAGACTATGACAGAACAGTATATTAAATGGATTTTTGGAGTATATTAACTGGAGTTTTGGAGGTAGGAGGTGGACTAGCTTGCTCTTTCCACTACATGCAGCAACCTGATATTGAAGTACTTCCAAGAATGGTGCAACCTTCGGAATTAAAAAAAAAAATGTAGGCACTGAAATGTGAATTACATTTAATTCCAACATGTCACAAAGTATTTTCCTTTAGATTTGCTTTTTAGTTATTGAAAAATATGTTTTAAAATTTATATATTGGCCCTATGGAAGCAGGAAGTGGGCTGGATCTGGCCTGCAGACTTCAATTTTAATTCCTGTTCTATAACAATGAGTAGGAATACTAGGGAGAAAAGAGGGAGCAAAACATTCTAAAATGTACATGTTTTGAAAGTGCATGGAGCTGTTAAAAGTTGGGGGAGGTGCGTTGCCACTGTTGATTATATATTCATTGCTCATCAGATAATCCGGACCACTTTTTTCTGATTCATGAGAGGACTAATGCATGAAACGGAGGGTCGGAATTGGCAATCTCAGAGACCTTTTTCAGTTTTGATTATCTGATTCTCAGATGACTGTTGAGATAAATTGGGTTTAAACTCATGGCTTCTGGATTGCTATTCTAAATTGAAGTAGACTATAAGAAGACTGAATTTAGAGTCAGGCTTCTGAGTAAATGGCAGAACCTAGATTTTGTTTGTTTGTTTGTTTTGTTTTTTGAGACAGGGTCTCACTGTGCAGTTTATGCTGGCCCGGAGGCTCCTGGCATGCTGATCTTCCTGCCTCACACTCCCCAAGTGCTGGGATTATAGCCATGTGCCATCACACTGAGCAGACCCTAGATGTTATGTGGCCAAGTGTTTAATCTTTTGGGAGTCTGGATTTTCTCATTTTTATTATGAGACCATTAATGATATCTACGCTAGAGTTGTTTTAAGGGCTTAAATGAGAATATGCATTTAAAGCACATAGCACAGTGTCACAATAAACATTCAGCACATTTTGACTTTTACAGTTACCTAGATCCCACTACCCACCTAAACTTGCACTTCTCATGTGGTTTACAAGCATTTGCAAGTAGGAGAGACAAGTACATCAAGATTTGTAGTCAGCAGGGCTGGGGATTTAGCTCAGTGGTTTCGCCAACTGCTGCGTAAACACAAGGATCCAAGTTCGATCCCTGGTACCAAAAAAAAAAGAAAAGATTTGTAGTCAGCTTAAGGTGAAGTAGCTCGTTGGACACTTATTAAATCAGCATTATTTATATTTAGAACTGTGGTGGTGAATCTAGTGCACACATGCAACACCAGGCTGTTTATATCATTGAAAGCTCTAAAAGATTCACCATCACTGATGTAGAATAATACTGATATGTAGTAAATGTAATATAAGTATTTGCTATCAGTTTTGTATGTGCTAGACACATACTGAGAATTCCTTAAGGGAATTCTTCTGAGAAGAAGCTGAGAATCCCTTAAGAAGGTCCAAGTATAATGGAGAGAGATGGGTAAATAATAGCTGTAATTCAGTAACACCAAGTGTGGTCGTAACATACCAGCATGTGGTAATATGGTGATATAGGGGGTTGTGTGATGGAGAAAGCCAGTGATTGCCTGCATAGGCCCTTCCTAGTTAATATTTGAGCTTTGAGAGTTTAAAAGCTTTATTTGAGTACCAGTGGATTATGTTGCTCATTATTTAAAAAATTTTTCCCTCCCTGATTATGAAAATATATTTAATTGTTGGAATATACAGAAGTTACAGGGAAGAGTCTACAATCTCATCATCTATAGATAACTGATATTATGTCTTGGTACATTTCCTTTTAGACTCTTTCCCCTGCATATTTGTATAATATTGTATTATATTGTAATATTGTATAATATTTGCAATCAAGTTGTAGATGATTTTTATGTTCTGGATTTTTATTTAACAGCAATGAAAATTTTTCATTTACATTTTTTTTGGTACTGGGGATTGAACTCGGGTCCTTGTGTGTGCGAGGCAGGTGCTGGAACCACTGAGCTAAATCCCTGGCCCTCATTTACATTTTCAATGACTACATAATATAATCATTTAGAATACCATAACATTTTAAAATGTCAATTTGATGTTTTTTTCTATCCCACAGTCTTTTCCTCTAGCTTTAAAGCACAAACTTACAGAAATGTCAGAATTTACCAATAATTTTGCTATGATAATATATTATTATTGAATATTTTGAATGTCTCACGATTTTTCCCAACTGAAGTCATAGTAGAGTACATGAACATCTTTGTACATTAATCTTTGTCTTCATAAACATTTTATTAGACTAGCTTTGAGGAAGTGGAATTACTAGCTTATAATTTGTTCGTTTTGTTTTTAAGCGGATTGCCCCTGATGGTGATTATCCATAAGTCTTGGTGTGGCGCTTGCAAAGGTGAGTTCAAGTACTCAACATCAGACCTCAAATGTGCTGTCAAAGGTTAACATACAATAAATATTAGCACTGATTCTGGCACACCACTACTGATTGCTTGAAGGAATACCAAAGACATATATGATATTGATTCCCTTCATGAGATTTGCAATTACATTTGCAAGGCGGGGTTTAGGGAGGATGAGGTTAAGATATAGTGATACAGAGTATGGATTTAAGTGCTAAAATATGTCACATAGACCATGAATATTAGAGGGAGCTGAAATCATGTACTGAGAGACATGAGAAGTAGATAAGCTTCCTAGAGGAGATGGGAACCAAATCAGAACCAGAGGTTTCTTATTTGACTTTGTGTCATGTATTCTTTCTCCTATAATAACTACCCTGCCACTTTTCCAGCCAGGTTTTAGCTTTAATTTGGTGTGCTACATCTAATAACATCCTAGTTGGAGAAGGCATGTAAAATTAGTATAAATAATTAGTGTGTATGTATGTGTACATATATTAGTGGCAGGGTGCTATTTTTTTTTTGATACAAGTTATTGAAATGTAACTATAAAAAGCAAAGAGTAGGGCCAGGGATGTAGCTCAGTGCTTGCCTGGCAAGCGCAATGTCCTGAGTTCGATCCCTGGTACCAAAAAAAAAAAAAGGACATAGTAATATCCCCTCCATTTGTATGTCATCCTTTATCAGTGAGATAAAAGTTCAGAGAAATGAAATGTCACTCGAGGTCATACGGCTGTGCAAATAAGTAGCAAAAGAGCCAGAATCTAGGAATCCGATTCTGATTTTAAGTTTCAAAAAAAAAAAAGGTATCAGTTTAGCAAATTCCAGGGCTGGGGATTTAGCTCAGTGGTTTCGCTGCCTGCTGCGCAAGTGCTAGGACCCGAGTTCGATCCCCAGTACCAAAAAAAAAAAATTTTTTTTTTGAACTATCCAGGAGAATTAGTGATGCTCATGCTCTTTAGGGTTTGGATATGATAATGTTTCTTCTGTTAAAATCTTTTCTTCTTTCCCCCCCAGCTTTAAAGCCAAAATTTGCAGAATCTAAAGAAATTTCAGAACTTGCCCATAATTTTGTTATGGTAAATCTTGAGGTAAGACTAAGAGTTTCTCCTTTTTTTTAAAAGACTTTACTATTTTAGATTTAGTATTATTAGTGGTATAAAGTCATACTGAGCAGAGCTAGCTACTTGTATATATTTGTTTTTCTCTTTACCTCTAATTTTTGTACGTGTTTATATATGTTTAAAAATGTTTTTGACCTCTAGTGTTAAGGCTTGCATTAGATGTGATAGAAAGCCATTCAGCATCTATTCTGGGGAGGAAGTAGGAGACAAGAGCCTGAATAAGATAACTAAATCTTAAAGTTCTTTTATCCTTGGTTTTTAATTTCTATTGATTGATTGATTGATTGGTCTTTGAAACAGGGTCTCACTATATAGTTTAAATTGGCCTGGAACTTACTGTGTAGCCCAGGCTGACCCCTAACTAGAAGCAATTCTCTTGCCTCACCCTCCTGAGTGCTGGGACCACAGATGTGCACCGCTATGCTTGGCTCATCCTTGGTTTTTTGGGGGGGGGTTTTGTAGAAGGGATGGAACTGGGATCTTGTGCTTGTGAGGCAGGCGGTGGCACCACTGAGCTAAATCCCCAGCCCCATCCTTGGTTTTTGATTATGACAGTCTACATTTTTTATAGCTAGATGGTAATCATACATGGAGTCTAAGCTCCCTGTCAAATGAGACTCAGTTGAACACCCCCTCTGTGCTGGGCTTATTATTTACAACCATCCTGTTTCCTCTTGAGATATTTTTTTGTGTACTTGATATGTATAGACTTAAGGTCTTGGAATCTTGAGTCATAGAATATCAGGCTTTAGACTTGAAGAGATTTTTAGGGCATTGGTACTGTCCCCACTTTATAGAAAAAACATCTTGGGCCCGAAAGAGGTATTCAGTTTGTTTAAAATCAGAGTTGAATACGTGATTAGAATAGGTACCTAGCTAAATTCCCATATTCTTCAAGTATGGAACTTGTATGCTCTATGATGACACTTTTAGCCTAAATTTCTGTGAAGCTGATCTTTACTTAAGCATAGGACTAAGAATCTTCTGAACAGATTAATAGTTATCACTGAGGCTGCAACAGTGTTGCTTATATAGTAGTGAATAGCATGAGTGCTGGTATATCTTATTAAAGCAGTGTATTACAGTTTGAAGAAATGACTCCATTTAGCCACTGAAATGGGATCCTCATTGTAAATTGTAAAGTTACTGTTGATTTCCCATGCACACGAATTCCTCAACACCTTCTATGGTAAATTATGGTCTCCATTCAGAGGAAACAGAAATAATGTCTTTAGTGAGCATTCCTTTGACTTAAGAAATTTCTTTAAAACAACAACAATAAAACTGATTGTATGATTGTATCTCCTGGGAAGACTTATCACTCCATAATTGTAGCCTAAATATCAATTTCATTAATTCTTGTATTCAAGAAACACTGTTTGTATGTAGTAGTCATGTGGGCACTGGCAATACATCAATGAACAAAAGAGACAACATTTCCTCATTGCAATAATGTTCTAATGTGGAAAGACAAAGAAAATATGTCAGATGATAGTTAATTTTGTAGCTAAAAATAAAAGGTGTCAGGGATGCAATTTTAAACAGGTGGCTAGAAAAGAAGGTGACATTTGAGCAAAGATCTAAAGTAGAGGGACGATAGGAGAAAGTGTGTTTAGACAGAGCATAAGAGCAAGTTCAAAAGCCTGTCTTAGGATTGTATCTGACTTCTTGAATGACAGCAGTAAGCAAGCTTAATTGGTTAAAGAGGACAGAGCAAGATAAAAGTTTGACATTTGATAAGTGCCCAGGGGGGCAGATCATGTAGGACCTTGGAGTCCTAGAAGGGCAGAATGCACTGAAAGGCTCTGAGAAGGAAAATATGATCTAATGTAAAGTTTATATTTAAACTTAATAGGATGAAGAAGAGCCCAGGGATGAAGATTTCAATCCTGATGGCGGTTATATTCCACGAATCCTTTTCTTGGGTAAGGTAATCTTAATCTTGGGAGCCATAATGTGGGTGGAGAAAGAAATGATGCAAGACACTGATTGCACCTAGTGAAACTACATTGGGATATCCACAAACAAGCCAGTTTCAAGAGAAGAGGAATTCTGAATATACCGGAACTAGCAGTTTATATGAAATTTTTCCCATTAACAAATTGCATATGTGAGCAATGACAAGTTTGTTCTTCTATTTATTCATTCAGCAGTCATCTGATCATCAACCACATGTCAAGTGCTGTGCTAGGCACTATAAGAAGAGAGAGAGAGAGATAAGCCACAATTCCCACCCTGACCCTATAGTATAGCTGAGGCAACAGAATAGTGCAACCAGACAAATGTCTTTTCACAAACAAGTTTATAAGACATAGTTAATGGTCACCTAATCACTGCTTAACATTTGGCTTGATTCTATGGGAGATATAAAAATATAGGACCCCATCATCAAGCAGAAAAGGAACACACGTGAAAAAAGGGAACAGCTATGCCAAGTCACAGGGAGGGGCTGGGAGGATTTGCATTCTGGAAATTGTAAGGAGTTCATTGTGACTAAAGCATGACATGCAAGGGGTAGGGTAATGGGCTGCAAGGACAGACAGGTATTATTTCCCAAAGGACCTAGTATACTATGTGGTGTTGGGAAGTACCTCTTTGTTGTAACTACTGCAGTCCCTGTGCCATTTTGTCTACAATAGATCCCAGTGGCAAGGTGCATCCTGAAATCATCAATGAGAATGGGAACCCCAGCTACAAGTATTTCTACGTCAGTGCTGAGCAAGGTACAGTTCTGCTGAGTGAAAGGAGGGAGAATTGCTGCCAGATTTAACTTGGATGAATGACAGGCAGGGTCTATGATAGGAGCTTAATCCAGCCTGTTAGCTGAGCATCTCCTGCATGACTAGCTTTTGGCTTACATCCTATATAGAATACAGGAGAAAGATAAAACTGAGTCCTTCCCTAGCTACTTAAAAATCCAATGGACGTGAGCCAAATCAAACCTCTCATTTAAAAAACAAAAAAATCCATTGGAACCAGACGTGGTGGTACATGCCTGTAATCCCAGCACTCTGGGAGGCTGATGCATGAAGATCACAAATTCAAGCCCAGTCTGGGCAACTTAGTGAATTAGCAAGATCCTGTCTCAAAAAATAGCAAGTGGCTGGGGATGTAGTTCAGTGTAAAGGCTCTGGGTTCAATCCCCAGTCCTGCAATATAAATGAAATCCAAAGGAAGAGCTGACTAACCCATTGGAAGCTAAAGAACTAAGGCTTCTGGAGATAGTCATTTGCCCATGGTCTCACAGTAAGTCACACAGTTGGGATTTAAATCCAGAACTAGTTGGGGTTTTTTTTCCCCACTGCATCGTTCCTATAATAATCTAGAGAAAGAATAAAAATAACTGATTAAGTCTAAGAGGTTTCACAGGTACTAAACTTTAACTGGATCAAGAACTATAAGAATTTGTCTCTGGACATATATGAGGAGAACATTTGAAACTACAGAAGCAAGAAGTGGGGAGGATGCAGCCTGAATGGAGAGTATGTGAGGCTTGCTGAGAGGCCTGGACAGTGAGACCTAATCAGCATAAGGATGAGAAAAGCATGTACCAAACAGAAAAATGACATCAGTAGAGACTGGTAAAGGAATGCTGAAATCCTGTCTCTGAATTCTGGAGTACAAGCACTTTAAAGGCAGAGCTTGGCCTCATACCATGTACTATCACTTTTCCTTCCTTTTTACCCTGATGTACAAAAGGGAGTGGTTTGCTAAGTTGTCATGCATCCCTTGTCAAGCAGCCAGGTCATTGATCACTTTGAATCCTTGGAACTTGTATTCTCAGAATAGTGAAGGGGAAGAGATCTCAAGGTATTATTATCCCTTCTTCTGGGTAAGGAAAATGGCATCTTCTTGACCAAATGCAGATCCCTGGAGATGGATGTTAAAAGATTTTCACACAGAAGAGCAGCTGGGCTTTAGATCTCCAACTCTTGTCTCCTGGGATTCACTTTCCCTTTAGAATTTTATCTAAGTTAACCACTGCCATCTCCACACTGATGTAGTTCAAATACATACAAGACTCTTCTAGGTTCTTTGTGGCTCAGCTGACATGAAACTGGAATATTCAGTGATTGAAGACAAAAAGGAAATAACTATTTTATCTGCCTCTTAGGAGCTAATGGGTTTGCTTCCCAAGATTCACAGATTCTGGCTTAACCTAGCTCCCGGCCTGCAACTATACAGAGGTGCTACTATTAAACCATTATCAAAGGAAGGCATATACTGAAATAACTGCCCTTCTTAAAGTGCAAATCTAGGGCCGGGGATTTAGCTCAGTGGTTTTGCCGCCTGCTGCACAAGTGCAAGGACCCAAGTTTGATCCCCGGTACCAAAAAAAAGTGCAAATCCGTAAGAGGAATATCCCCTGAGATGGCCCTCCTTCTAGCTTTCTTTCTTTGTTTTTGTTTTCTGGGGGTTTTTTGTTTTGTTTTTTGCCTGAAAATGACTTCTTCCAAGTATAGTTGAAAATGGAAATGACTACACCCTTGAGTGGAGAGCGTTCTTCTCCCAGCATGCATGGGAATACATATACCACACACTCAGGCACATCATTAGCGTAACCTGTAACACTACAGGAAATGAAATAAATGCAACAGTCATCCAAAAGACATAATGGAGATGGTAGGAAGGTGTTCCCATTTTTTATACTAACCCTATGTGAAGTAGCATTTCATTTATAAACAAGGAAACAAATTCAGAGAGGCCAATGACATGCCAGGGCTAAAATCCACAACTAGATCTTAAGTCCAGATCTCGTGATTTTCTTAAGACATTTAAAAGTCTACATTTGTTGTCAAATATCAGATATTAAAATCATGACTTTTCTCCTTTGATTTCACAGTTGTTCAGGGAATGAAGGAAGCTCAGGAAAAGCTGACAGGTGATGCCTTCAGACTGAAACATCTTGAAGACGAGTTGTAATACAAATGTAGCCCTTTCATTAAAGTCAGTGTTCTAGAAGGAAAGCAGCAAGGGAAGGAATATTCAGGAATCACCCAGAACAATTAAACCAGCCAGGAAACCTTGCTTCTACCTACACTGGAAGCAGCTCTCTCACTGTGGAAGAAGTTTGCTAACAGAAGCTGGTCGGCATATGTGTGGATCTAGCAGCGTCGCAGACTTCCTTCTCCTGCTACCTATCACCTAAATGTCCATTTGTCTTTGAATGTTAAGAATAAAACCTTATGACACAAAACTTGAGCCACTTGGAGATTTACTCCTCAAATTTCAATATTTGAGTCTTTTCCCAGTTTCTCCTGGTTTACTCACCTTACTGATGAAAGAAGACCAGTAGCATCTTTTCTACAATATTCACATTGCAAGAATAGCTTAAATTAAAAAAAAACAAAAAACACTTAAAGTCCTAAACAATAAATTGGTAATTCTACCACTCATCAAGGAGACAAGCCTGTTTTTCCTCTTTTTCTCCTGGGAATAATCTTGGAGTTCTTCCTGAGTCGCCATGACCTTCTTCCTCTGTGCTCAGCTTCCCCTGTTTGCACACGTGTGTGTGGGAATGGCTATGTGCTTGGACTCAGCCCCAGCTGGAAGTGTGCTTTCCCTGATTCCAACGGAGAAACTGTAACAACCTTCAAGCCCTACATGGAGCCATTTTTGTCAAGTCATCAATTGTATTTTTGTACCGGGGTTAACAAAAAAATATATTAATTGTTCCATTAAACTTTAGTAAAACTTTAAAAAGAAGTGTGCTGTGATGGTCTTTTTGTTATTGGAAAAGGGATGGAGTCACTTTGAAAGAAAACTAACTTTGAGGGCCTGCTCCAGGAGTCCGGCTTCCCCGGAGTGATCATGAATATGGCAATATATTTTCTAGCTTAAAACTTTTCCTGCCCCCTTTAAGATTGTTGTTACTGTTGGGAAATATCTGGGCCTTCAGTATGTGCCAGGCAGTCTTCTGGTTTCTCTAAGAGTGTTATTTCATTTAGATTGGATTTTTTTTTTTTTGCTACCGGGGATCGAACTCGGGTCCTTGTGCTTGTGCAGCAGGCGGCGAAACCACTGAGCTAAATCCCCGGCCCTCATTTAGATTTTCTTAAATTGCCCAGCAGCTTTGTGGGAAAAGTACTATTATAACCCTAATTTTACAGAATTTGAAACAGGAGGAAACCAAGGCACATAGTAAGGTTAAGATCTTTAGCATGTTCTTGCAGGGAGCTGCCTACCCTAACCTCATTTGTTTCCATTCATGTTTTGCATTTTGTATTGTGGCGACATTAAGTTGCTCTGAGTTTTCCTAACATGCTGGGGGTTTTGCCTTTGTGTCTTTACTCATGTCCTCAGCCTGCAGGTTTCCTATTCTCTGCCACCCATTTTGAGCCATGTCTCCCATAGTCTCTGACCTTTCTCATGAGGATAAAATGCCTTGCCTCCAAGACACCTATGAGAGTCATGCACCACTTTATATTGAAGTGACCTATTTACTCATCTGTGGCTATCATCAGGTGGCATTCTTCTTTAGGGCAGAGTCTACTCACCTGACCTGCTGTTCCAAGATCTCAAAACAATGTACTTCCAAGTGATTTAAATCCATTCTCTTTAAATACCATCAGTAGTCCTGTGGGGTAGGTGTTGGCTTCTTTTGAAAGAAAAGGAAATTTCAGAGAAGGAAATGATTCACCTTCAGGTCCTAGACTAAATATTGGGTTCTAATCACTGCTATTTGACTCCAAACTCATGCTTTTCACACAATATTACTTTCTTTCCATTCTAAGGTCTGACTCATTAGAAAAGGAGTTTTCAATCTGGGGCACAGAAAGACTTAAGAGACAGAAACTTAATTGATTTCCAGAGGTTTGTCTTAAAAGTGATTTCCCAAAAAGTTAAATGTAGAATTACTATATGATCTAGCAATTCTCCTGGATATATGTCCAAAATTAAAAACAAAATCTTGAACAGATACCTCCACACCCATGTGCACAACAGCATTATTCACAATATCTCCAGAGTGGAAGTAACCCAAGTCCACTGATAGATGGAGGGATGGATGGATAAACAAAATGTGGTATGTATATGCCATGAAATATTAGTCATAAGAAGAAAGGAAATTCTAAGCTGGGTCAGGACTCAGGAGGTTGAAGCAAGAGGATCAGTGTGAGTTCAACTGCAGTCTGGGCTACATAGTTCAACGCCAGCCTGAACTACATAGTGAGATCCTATCTCAAAAAAAAAAAAAAAAAAAATTCTAAACTGTGCTACAACATGGATGAACCTTGCAAACATGTTAAGTAAAATAGACACAAAAGAACAATTTCATATCATTCCTCCTATGTAACATACCTGAAATAGTCAAATTCATAGAGACATACAGTAGAATGGTGGTTTCCAGGAACTGAGGTGGGGGTGTGAATGGGGAGTTAGTATTGGGTATGGAGCTTCAAATTGGGATAAGAAAGTGGATGGATGAGGGTGATGGATAGAAAATAGTATGAATGTATTTAAAGCACTAAATCACATTTTAAAATGCTTAAAATTGTAAATTTTGTTTTGTTTTGTTTTCTGAGACAGGGTCTTGCTATGTAGTTCTGCCTGTCCTTGGGCTCACTATGTAGCATGGGGTGAGCCTGAACTTAGAACAATCCTGTCTGCCTCAGCTTCCCAAGTACTAGAATTACAGATGTGCACCACCACACCTGGCCCTGTAAATTTTATGTATATTTTACCGCAATAAAAAGTCTCGGGAAATATTAAAATAGTTTATTCCCACTTTCTTTGTAACTGTTTGCTTTTACCCACTTTACAGAAAATAGATATACTCTCACCCTGAATTTTATGGTACCTCATCTTATTATGTAAAGACCTCTGAGACACCAAAGGGTCTGAAATATTAAGCTTCCTTGATTAAAAGTTTTGTACATAATTCTGTCCTAAGCATAATTCTGTGAAGAGAAAAAAATGTGGCATTAGAAATGGAACAGTTTTCTCCATTTGGGGATCTTTTGAATTAGAATATTTTAGAATTAAAAGACAGTTTTCATAGAAATTCATGTGTACATGTTTATTTGCATTGGAAAATGAAAAGAGTTATGACATTGTCTCTGGGCAAGAATAATTTGAACAAATACTTCCTAAAGAAGTTATATGAATGGCCAGTAAACTCATGAAAATGTGTAATATTAGGCATCAGAAAAATGTAGATTAAAACTACAGTCGTATGCCATTTCCCACTACTAGAATTGCTAAAATTATTATTTTTTAAACTGATCATACAATGAGAGAGATGATGTGGAGCAACTGGAACTACTGTATTTTGCTGGTGAGGGTGTAGAATGGTATAGACACTGAGCCACATCCCAACCTGTGAAATATTTTATAAAGCTAAAACATAAACCTAGAAGTTGTAGAATTTTATAACTATAGTATATGAAACATAGATACACACACACACAGAGTACAAGAATGTTCATGACCCCCCAAAACGAATCAACCTAAATGTCAGTAAATAAATGGATACGTTGTGGTATACTCAAAGGAATACTCAGAATAAAAAAGAAAAATACTGACACATGCACCAATATGGATGAATCTCTAAAATACGCTGAGTGAAAAGACAAGCAAAAAAATACATGTATATGAAATTTAGAACAGGTGAAACTTATCTATAGTATGGGAAAGCAGATCGGTGGTTACTTGGCACTGAGGGTGGGTTAAGACCAAACCGACACAGAAGCCAGGAGGAAACTTCCTATGGTGGTGTAAATGTTGACCGTGATAGTTACACAGGTATATACATTTGTCAAAAGTCATCAAATTGTAACTAAACCTGAGCATTCTGTCATATGTAACATATTAATATATTTAACCTTAAAACACTCAACTCTCCAAAATGAAGTCTTTCTGAAAGAATGTCTGATTTAGCTATTCTGGTCTTATTAGGCAATGGGTAAGGCCTTCTGATAAATTGAATGGGAGCCAAGTATTTTATAAAAACACACTTAAAGCACATAATATGATAAATGCATTTTATCAAAACACATTATGTTGACAAAGATTTTATTGGCATTTTCCTGGGAATTTGGGTTATGCAAGGTACTTCTAAGGCAAATGAAAAAGTCTGAGAGGCTATTAATAAGTCTGTGGTACACTTCCCAAAATTGAGAAAGGAAACGACTCTAATGAGTTATGACAGATTCTTTTGCAAATTAGATGTTTTCTCTGTCTTCTTACAATGTCATCGAAAGAGGACCTAATTTATCAATGAATACAGCTTTGAAATTTTTTGATATTAGGTAACTGATTTTTTTTAGTATACATTATCGTGATTGAAAAATACAGTGAAGGGCTAGGGATTTAGCTCAGTGGTTCTGGTGCCTGCCTCGCAAGCGCAAGGTCCCAAGTTCAATTCCCGGTACAAAAAAAAAAAAAAAAAAATGAAGAGGAAAAATACAGTGAATAGGGCCAGGGATTTAGCTCAGTGGCACCATGCTGGCCTCACAAGCACAAGATCCTGAGTTTGATGCCTGGTACCAAAAAAAGAAAAAAAGAAAGAAAAATACAGTGAATGTCTACATTTAAAGTTTATTACAATAAAAGACACATTGCCATTAATTCCATTCAAAATATTCCCCCTTCACTTTGAATACACTTACTCCATCATTCTTGCCACTTTTTGAACCAGTTCTGGAAATCCTCTTTCAAAAGTGTCTTTATGCAATGTGATTTTTAAAACTATGGTAAAGGTGGACTTACGAGAACATCACAGTGTGTCCTCATCCTCCTTATGCACTGGATCTGCCACCATGTGGCTGCTGGCTCTTCCCAAAATAACCATGAAAAAGGAGCTAGAACATTCCTTTATATTTAATCCAGTTGAAGCTCAGGTTCCATTAGTTGCTACAAAAAACATAACAGAAACATTATCTAATATCTTGGTTTCTCATTTGACTTCCTCAACACCCATGACCTCCAAAGTAATCACAGCCACCCCACTCAAGGAGTCTTATCTTGTCATTCCAGCTGCTCTAGCTCTAAAATCTTGAATTTAGAAATCTAATCTTTGACCATAGCCACTATTTGTCCTTTCAACCTAGCTGATTAGCATCTTCCACTACGCTCTGACCTTATGCAATCAGATGTAACTCCTTCAATTTTCCGCCACCAAATCTATAGATCTTTCTACATTTGTCCCATCTTCTCTCCCTTCTTTCTTATTCTAGTGGAGAAGATGGCTTCTGCTTATTAGAGGCTCATCCTTCTATTGTGTTCTGAAACCATCCTCTTCTTATCCTTGGATTAAAATATATATTTCCTTTCTTATCAATCCATCTCTTCTAGATCATTCCAATGCAATTTTAAACAAGCAGTTATTTCTCATCTATAAACAAACACTTTGTAGGTTTTATCTGTCCATCCAGCCTGATCCATGCTGTCAAACTTTTTTTTTGAGACAGGGTCTCATTATGTAGTTCATACTGGCCTTGCACTCACAGTAATTCTCCTGCCTCAGCTTCCCAAGTGCTGGGATTACAGTCATGTGCCACCATGCTCAGCCATGCTGTCAACCTCTTCTCACATCTTAATTCTTTCTTCATCCTTCTACTTGCTGCATTTTGGCTTCTGCTTTCACAACTCCACCCAAATGGTTCCTGTTACAGTAATGGAAGGAAAGGAAATAGTGTGCATAGGATTGGAAAATGAGTGAGGGAAATCTGGAAGATAAAATCATTTTTGAACATTCTCTTGCT